TTCGAACTGATCCTAAAATATATACACTTTTCTGATTCTGAACTCCAGCGTTGGTCCAGATGACAGACTAAATAAAGTTAGAGACACACAAGCTGACGCTTTTTAAATACACAAAAAATATTATAAAGTGTATCTTAAAAGATACACTGGCGCTGAACGTGTTAAGCATTTTAATATATAAGCGCCAATATCAGTTGCTCTTGATATTTTGCAGAGAAAAAATGCTATTATCTCAGAAGCTGTAGAGCAGTGAAACAACGACCATATAACTTCGAGGATATTGTCGAAGTACATTTCGAAAAAAACACAAAGATATCACAATCGATATAAGCACACACCTATGTATATTCCATATCATTTTATACTTAGAACTTCTTCGCAGGTTCGAACTGATCCTAAAATATACATAACAAGGCAGAAGTAAAAGGTAGAGCTCACAAGGAGAAGGTAGAAGGAAAAGGTTTTGCCTTAATTTCATATTCATAATCTTTTCCTTTTCTTTGCAAGCAAATCCTCGCAGAAAAAAGGAAAAGGTAGACGAGCGCAATTTACGAGTATGTTGCCACCAAACATATTGCAACTTGCAGTTACAGAGGTAAATGAGCAAATTAATTGTTATTAGGTATAGAGTGTTTGCTGGTACTTCTAAGTTCTACTTGAAGCTTTGAGTGGTATTTATATATTTGACTGAGCTGTGTTAAGATGGCAAGTGACGAGGAACTGTCAGACTACCAAGTAGAGTTACAAGACACCGCCGGCGCCGTTTCAACTGCCCAAAAGCTTGTTCTATGACAACTCTTTCTTTCTTTCATAATCGATTGAAAGCAGCCTGCGCTGAGTCTTCCAAGATGGGGAAGGGTTTCATCAGATAGGACATTATACCATAGCCACTGTCTCCCAACAACACCGTATTAGTCGTCCGCCGCATAATTTCATGAACAGAAGAATTTTTCCATTTATGGAATGAAAATCATGATAAATGTTTTAATGATTTCAAAATGTAATAAGCAAAGCTCCTTGTTTAAATTTTTTTAGTCCCGAGGATCCAATGAAAATCTCTGTGGATGCCTCTCAGAATGGGAGGGGAGCCTCTTTGATGCAAAACAGTATGCCGTGTGCGCATGCTTCACGTGCACTCACGGAGACTCAGAAAAACTACGCTCAAATAGAAAAAATACTTTTAGCTGTCTGGTTCGCGTAGAGACAGATCACAAGCCTTTAGTGTCCATTATGCACAAACCAATAAACTCATGTCCAGCTTGTTTGCAGAGAATGTTGATTCAGTTAAAAAAGTATGAATTTGAAATTGTTTATGGTATGTCTTATTTCAAAATCTTTAAATGCATCGGAACATAAAATAAAAGAAATAAAGCAGCTTACAAACACTGATACCGAGCTTTCAACTTTAATAGCCTAATAACTGAATGAGGCCTTGCTGGATCCGATCTTTCTGAACACTTCAAAGGAATACAGAACTAGTGGTGTTATGAATGTTGATCACTTATCTGATCATCATATGGTATTCTGTGAGTTTTATTTACAAGTACACAAATTTAAACCAAAATTGGTTACTTACAGGGATTTCAAGAACTTTGACGCGGTTGGATTTCATAGAGATTTGCAATATGTTCCTTGGCACCATATTTTACGAATTACTGAAATAAAAAATAAAATAGAATTTCTAACCCAAAATGTTCTTTATCTTTTTGACATACATGCACCTTTACGTAATGCCCGAATTACGAAACAAAATGCACCTTGGTTAACACCAAATCTAAGATTAATAATGAAAGAACGAAATAAGGCTTTATCAAATCATAAAAAATTGAAAACACTTCAAAGCTGGACAATTTACAGGGAAATAAGAAATTTTACAAAATCGGCCATTCGCAAGGAAAAAGCAGCATATCTTAACTATTTAAATAATCGAGATGCAACACAATTTTACCGCGCTCTTAAAAACTTGAATATTCAACATGGCCAACCTGTCATTGACATACCACCTGATCTATCAGATCCAAATCATATAAACAGGTATTTTACTTCAATATTTGAGAACAGCGATGTTGCATGCGCAGAGAGAATAAGTTTTTATACCAACCATAATAAATTTAATGAAAATTTGTCTTTCAATTTTAAACTTATAGATGTGCCTGAAATAATTAAAATTATAAATAGTATAAAATCAAATGCAAAAGGTTCTGATGGTTTAAGTTTACAAATGGTAAAAATGTGCCTACCCAGCATTGATAAATACATATGTCATTATTAATAGTTGCTTAGAAATTGGATTTTTTCCACAAATATGGAAAGAGGCATTAGTCATTCCTCTACCAAAAACTGAAAACCCATCAAGATATGATGACTTGCGACCAATTAGTTTATTGCCAATCTTATCGAAAATCTTGGAAAAGATTGTGTATAGCCAAATAATAAATTATTTAAATGATGCAAACTTGCTACCGAAAGAACAATCGGGGTTTAGAAAAGGTCAAAGTACAGAAACTTTGTTATTGGCATTATCTGATGATGTTTTTCGAGCATGTGATAACGGTTTAGCAACTGTTCTTGTGCTATTGGACTTCAGCAAGGCTTTTGACACCGTGAATCATGCGTTGTTGGTTGAAAAATGTAAATATATTGGCTTTGACAATGTTTCGGCGAATTTTTTGAAATCCTACTTGGAAGATCGAAGCCAGAGAGTTACTATAAATAATGAATTCTCTGAAAATCTCTGTATATCCTCTGGTGTCCCTCATTTTACCCGGTATAGCCTAATATGTAGTTAAATTAACTATTGTACTTTACATCAAATTAAAACTTGATCCAAAAAGTTATACAGGGTGAGCCAAAATTAATATTGAACTTTGATCACCTTTAAAAGCATGTTACTCTTTTATTTTAAATGGAACACCCAGTATATTATTCCGATATTCAATGGTGAATTCATGTCTCTTCAAAATACTATTAAGGTTGCATACCCCTGAAACAAAGATTTTCCTAGATATTTTCATTTACATGATTAGAAATCTAGGTGACTGTGATATGTCTGATGTTACTTCAACATAGCTGTCTAATTAGTCCAACTTTAACAACTAATTATGATTTTGTGATTGATAAAATCTAGGTGGCTTTGATATGTCAGACGCTACTTCAACATAGTAACTAACAATTAGTCCAACTTTAAAAACTAGTTATCATTTTGTGTCAGTTAAAAAAAAATTCTCAGAAATTTGAGGAAAATGCAAACTTATCATACATCAGAGAGAACTGATATGATTCCATTAGTTGGTGAATGCAGTGTGCATTCACCAATTAATAGAATACTTAAATACTCCTGATTTTATCTAGTCTGGATTTTTTTATGGGGATATGTTAAAGACAGTGTTTACAAAACTCAACCAACTATTCTCGACAACATGAGAGAAATTATTGTAGCTGCTATTCGAGGTAGAACTCCACATTTGCCTTTTAAAACGAAAAGATCCTTTTGAAAAGACAATCATTTTATGCAGTTAACAGGAAAGGAAGCATTTTGAGCATTTGATTTCATCTAGTTAATTTTTGTCACATAATTAATAGATTTATATCTAGTTTTAATTCTGTAATAATTAAAATATGTTTTAAATGTGTATTTTTTTATTACCGTTGAGTATTTTACCCTACAACCTTTATTTTTTGTTAAACTAATAAAAGGTATATCACACAGCCACCTAGATTTTTTCAAATAATAAAGATCTACTGACGCAAAATCATAAAAATTGAAATATCTAGGAAAATCTTTGTCTGAGGGGTAGGCAACCTTAATAATATTTTGAAGATATATAAATTCCCCATTGAACACCGGGAAAATATACTAGGTGTTCTATTTAAAATAAAGGAGTAACTTGCTTTTAAAAGTGACTAATGCTCCATATTAATTTTGCCTCACCCTGTCTAACTTTTCGGGCCAAATTTCAATTTGGTTTAACATACAATGGTTACTGTAATTAAATATCAGGCTATACAAGGTCAACTAAAATTTAGGTAGCTATTATCGAAATTTAAAATTTACTCTTCATTTTCACAAAATGTGAAATATGTCAAAATCCTTAGATTTTAGGTATATGCTTCTTTAATAAAACTCACCTTTATTTTTTCCTAGAATCCGAAAATCAATTAATATATAGGGTGTTTCATTAGAAAAAACACAACTTTGATGTGTAACTTTTTTGGGGACATCCTGTATAATTCTATATATTTTTATAAAATGCTTTCAGTTAACCTACATACGCTGCCAAAATTTCATTTCGATATAAACTATCGCTCTCCTTGGAGCTTCCGCGGCGTATGAGAGGCGCCACCCTGTATAATGTGGATTGTAGAGATCCTGTAGGCAACCATATGGCCTTCAATTTTGATGCGCCGTTTGGAGTTAAGCCGTAACTTGCTGCCGCGCTGGTTGACTCTTCCCCTATCGAATTTTATTCGCTATTTCTTGACTCGGAAATCTTAAATCTCATGGTAAATGAAACAAATTTGTATGCCGCCCAACTGCTTTGTTCTGGTGAAGACGTTCAATGTTCGTCTCGATTTGATGCATGGGAACCAACAACCTGTGAAGAAATGAAGAAATTTATAGGCATATTAGGATACATGGGAATCGTGCAATTACCCTCGATTCGCCGTTACTGGTCTAAGAAAATACTGTTCCGATTTAGTGTGGTATCACAGTCATGAGTAGAAATAGATTCGAAGTTCTTCTAAAGATGTGACACTTCAGTGACAATGAGAACTGTCCCGAAGGCGATCGGGAACATAAAATTAAACCACTAATACAGTACTTGCTGGAAATGTTCCAGGATGCTTATACACACGGACCCGTTTTTTGTATTGTCGAGTCCCTGGTGCCCTTCAGAGGCAGATTGGTAATAAAACAATACATACCGCAAAAAGCGCATAAATATGGCGTAAAGCTTTTTAAACTTTGTTGTCAGAAGGGATATACTTGGAATATCAAAATGTATGCAGGAAAAGAAAGGGACCCTAATTGCACCGTTCCTACAAAAATTGTAATGCAGTTATCAGAAAAATTGCTAAACAAAGGAAGAACTGCAGTCACTGACAACTATTACACCAGTTTGGAACTGGGGCACAAATTCTTACACCACGAAACCCATTTACTGGGTACGCTTCGTAGTAATAGAAAGGGGAATCCGAGAGACGTTACCCAAAAGTTGAAAGTTAGTGAAATTATTGGTAAAGAAAATTCAAAAGGAGTATGTATCATGAAATGGAAAAATAAGAGGGATGTGGTTATGTTATCCACCAGACATACCACAGAAACGGTAAATGTAAATCGCAGAAGTGGACCTATACAAAAACCAGCAGCAGTTGTGGAGTATAATGCTGCAAAAAGTTCAATAGATCTTTCTGACCAAATGTCCAGCTACTGTTCGGCTTTGAGAAAGATTATTAAGTGGTACAGGAAAATTGCCATTGAGCTCCTTCTGGGTACTGTCGTTGTAAATTCCCACTTCCTCTATAAAGAAATTCATGATAACAAAATGTCGATTACTGAATTTCGAGAAAATATTGTACAGGGCCTTCTTTTCCACCCGAACAGGAGCACACACCTGGGCCTAGCAAGAAAAGGAAAATAAACAATCACCAATTCAAAAAGAAAGAAGGGGCTGCCCACAGTGTTCGGAAATATTGTCACGGTTGCTACGAAAAAAAGAAAAAGGGGTTAATTGAAAAGAATAAGGTTCCGAAAGTTACTACGTATTGCGAAGATTGCGAAGAAAAGCCACATTTTTGTTTGGATTGTTGAGAGAGAAAAAGTTGGAACATATCACAATTCATTTTTTTTGGTCAGTTTTTACGGTATATTTTGCAAATAAATGTTTAAATAATATTTGGCCTTGTTTTAATTTTTACAAACAAATGTTGAACCGTTAACATATTTAATTTATAATAAGCTTGAACCGCTCAGTTTAAAAATTCAGATCAATTGAAAACTTAACAAATGAGTTTCTAACAAACTTTTCAATCGGTATTTTGTAAACCCAATACTGCTGATTATAGCCCACAGGCCATATCGGTCCATGCTTAATGCTAAATAATATCTAACTGCGGTCCCTCGGCCTGTACAGCGACCGAAAGTAATGTGCAAACCGGCGGTCCAATGGCCCGCCATGGCCCTGTGTGGCAACACACTCAGCGGTCCCTATGAACCGCCGCGCCGTGGCGCTTAACGTGTTAATATTATTTTGTTGTGTTCAAAAAAGGTGTTAATTTTTATTTATTTTTTTAAATTTGTAGGTATTTAAGTAATCTACGGGAACACGGTTTGATAACCAAGTCTATGAAATTTATTGATAGAGAAATTCATGTAAACGTTTTATTCAAAAAACGTGTTTTTTATAATAATTTTTCATTTAAAAAAAACAAAAGTCCTAGGCCCCCCCTGGGCTCAACCCCAGCAAAGTACCAATTTTCATAAAAACCTACGCTTCAGGGTGACTTAATAGGTAACACCGAGTATGATTTATTAAAAAATATTAGTTCAAAAAGCACGTTCAATGAAAAATAATAAAATGTTTTCTACAAATAGCACACATACTTAGAAATCCCTAATAAAATTAAGTATTGACATTCTTTATATATTTTATTGCCTTATATATTTTTTTTAGTTGTTTCTTAGGTCTTGTGGCTATGGTTAGATTAAAACAAGTTTTTCGACGACGTTTCGCATTTATTGTACCATGCTTCTTCAGGATTTTTTTTTGGTCTTTCCTATGTCTACAAAACAATATTAAGTCAATAAGTAAAATATTCATAACATTAAAACAACGTGTTAATATTATTTTGTTGTGTTCAAATAATGTTTTTTATTTATTTTTTTAAATTTGTAGGTATTTAAGTAATCTACGGGAACACGATTTGATAACCAAGTCTATGAAATTTATTGATAGAGAAATTCATGTAAACGTTTTATTCAAAAAACGTGTTTTTTATAATCATTTTTCATTTAAAAAAAACAAAAGTAACTAGTTAAAAGTCAACAATGTGTATTCATTTAATTATGTAATAATATCCATTTAATTATGTATAAATATAAAAATAACATTAAAAAATACTAAAAGATATTAAAAAACATTAAAAAATATTAAAGAATATTAAAAAATAAAAAAAGTGATAGCGTACCTTGGAGTGTTTATTACCGTTTCTTTACTGAGAATGGCTGGAATTGTTTATTTAAAATTCGTACGTATAGATTTTTTGTATTTTTTTCCTCTTTTTTATACTAATTCGAGCCATTTTGATATATTCAGTGCAGCAATTCGTCTCTTAATAATATTAATCTTTAAATGTATACAGGGTGGCGCAACTCATTCGCCTCGGTTGATTATACGAAAACGGAAAGATGTAGAAACAAAATATTTTATGGGTATATGTGGGGAGGCAATGTGCACAATTTAAAATTATTTTGAAATATACAGGGTGTTTCAGAACTAAGATCCATACCAAAGTTAAATTTTTTAAGTATTTTATTTCATTTTTGGATTCGTGGGCCCAAAAAAGGCATTTATTAAGGGTTAATGTTTGGGCATATGTTTAAAATCTTTGGTTTTTGAGATATTTAAAGATATTTTTAAATTGCATTCTAATATAGAATAGATTATTAATACCTTGCACGTTACTTTTCAGAATTAATTCTTGTGCTGAGTTTAAAGGTAAAGAAATAAACTTTACTGGAAAATGTTATTACTTCCTTAAATTTATACAGGGGTATCAAAAATTGCTGATTTAATTTAAGGATTTATTTTACATAAAAACTTCGTTATTTCAAATACAACACCCTGTATTTTTTATAATAAATCGAAGCATATTCAAATGCTCTTTCAAACTAGCAAAATAAAAACACTAAATCACCACAATACACCAAAACACTTTTACTTTTACACTGGACGCGCGTTTCGCTAACCATGTTAGCATCATCAGCAGATGATTATAAACTGACAGATGATTATAAACTGACAGTTTATAATCATCTGCTGATGATGCTAACATGGTTAGCGAAACGCGCGTCCAGTGTAAAAGTAAAAGTGTTTTGGTGTATTGTGGTGATTTAGTGTTTTTATTTTGCTGTTTAACACCAAAGGTTCCAACCCTCAACTGTAATCTTTCAAACTATATTAGGGTTTCCTATACCTGTCTAGCTCAGATTTTAAATAAAGAGCAATTTTTCAATAAAATGGCAACCAAGAGAACTAGTGTCGTCATGACAGTTTTTGTATTGACAGTTAGTAGCTATTTTCAAAATCGAAATTAGTTTCTGGACTTATTTAAATTTAGTTTAATTTTATTTAATTTACCTACAATAGTTTAATAAATAATATTTATTAAATATACATTATTATTCTATCAAGAAAAACGAAGTAGTTCTTTGATTTATTCTACGATGTCTTGTAGATATATGGATTCTCTATAAAAGAGACAATTACAACAAATTCATTTTCTACACTTCCAACGACAGGTTTCTGCCTCTAACAGGTTTTTTTATAAAACACATTACCAGCTCTGCGAAACAGGGCAAGTAGTTTTTCAAAGGAACGCTTATCAGAAAGATTTCTATTTGGATATTTTTGAGCATAAGCTCTAGAGGCCAAGAAGCAATTTTCCTCACAAAATAAAATCACTAGAAACATATCCATTCGTTCCGCCAGCAGATACTGCTTTATTTTTCTTGACAAAATAATGAATACTTATTTATTAAACTATTGTAGGCAAATCTAAGTAGACTGTTATAAATTATAAATAATAACGTCCCTAAACTAATGTCGGCTTTGAAAATAGTTACTGTCACTAGAAAATTGCCATAACGACAGCAGCCATCTTGATTGCAATTTTATTTAAAAATCGCTTTTAATTCAAAATCTGAGCTAGATAGGTATAGCAAACCCTAATATAGTTTGAAAGAGCATTTGAATCTGTTTCGGTTTATTTTAAAAAATACAGGGTGTTGCATTTGAAATAACGAAGTTTTTATATAAAATAAATACTTAAAATAGATCAGCAATTTTTGATACCCCTGTATAAATTTAAGGAAGCAATGCCATTTTTCAGTAAAGGTTATTTCTTTACTTTTAAACTCAGCACAAGAATTAATTCTGAAAAGTAATGTACAGGGTGTTAATAGTGTACAGGGTGTTCTATTGTGGTATGCAAATTTAAATATCTTTAAATATCTCAAAAACCAAAGATTTTAAACATATTTAACCCTGATAATAAATGCCTTTTTTTGGGCCCAAGAATCCAAAAATGAAATAAAATACCGGGTGTTCCATAAGAAAAAATATAACTTTGGTATGGATCTTAGTTCTGAAACACCCTGTATATTTGGAAATAATTTTAAATTGTGCACATTGCCTCCCCACATATACCCATAAAAGATTTTGTTTCTACATCTTTCCGTTTTCGTATAATCCACAGAGGCGAATGAGGTGCGCCACCCTGTATATATTATGAGAATATTTCTTTACAAAAAAAGGCATTGAAATAATTTCTTTTTTTTTCTTGGAAGAATATGTATTTCTGTATCTGTAACATTTTTTCTTTTTATTTCCATTTTTACATAAAGGGTAAAAAAATTTTACTGAAAGCAGTGTTGGCTTGATTTAAATCAAATGATTTAAATCATGATTTAAATCGTGATTTAAATCAAGTGATTTTTTTAATTTTAATCATGTGATTTAAATCAAAAAAATATGAATTATTGAAACTTTATAATAAATAAAAAAATAAATGTAAAAGTTATAAAAATGTGTCTTAGAAAATTATAAAAAATATTTCTATAACATATAACAGATAATAAATCGAAAAATAATTGTAAATGTTATAGAACTATATAAAAATATCTGTTCATCAATTTAAATGTTGGACCAATTTTTGAAGTAATTTCGTGTGAATCCATTAGACCGCTAAACTAAAATTTTAAAAATTATGTATAAGTGACAAAAAGTCGCTGTTCGAATACATATCATTCGCAGTGTAGTGCAGAACTAGGATAGGTAGTAGGCACTTATGCCCACTTGCACCGTTTGTATAAACTTTGTTTAAAGGCTAAACAGTGATTAACTATAATAAAATATGTATAGTTAATCACTGTTTAGCCTTTAAACAAAGTTTATACAAATAGTGCAAGTGGGCATTAACATTTTTTTTGTTTAATAATATATTTTTGTGCTTAGGCGTAACAGTGCTTTACTTTTATGCATAGGCGTTAAAATTACAAAAATTATTACTCTTGAGACGTTTGAAAAAAAATCCTTTTGATCTGAAGCGAGCGACTTTTTATGCGGAATATATTGGTGACCGATGTGGAAAAATGACACGCGCCGTAAAATTGTTAATGTTATCGGTATCGGGCAGAGTTATAAAGATTTAGTTATAGCCATTTAGGATAGGACTTTACTTGGAAATAAGTCCTAGTCATTTGCAAATCCGATTTAAATATTGTTTTGAATTAAAATAAAAAAAATCTGATTTAAATCAAAAAAATCTGATTTTTTTTTATTTTTATTAAAAAATCATGATTTTTTCCAACCCTGACTGAAAGTGTAGCAAAACAACAAGACAAAAAATAAATAAGTAAAAC